TCCCACATCCTTCCAGTGTGCTTTCTTGGATGATAGAGACCAGAGACTTTAAACTGTCCTCTTTCAGTCTTGAATATAGTTTCCCAATCAGATGCTCTCATTGTTGGAAGGTGGAAGTGAGGCAGGGACTGTCTTCAACCTGTTCTGTGTGTTTCTGGGACAGCATAGTCATGTAGGTACTGGAAGTTTCTAAAGCACTATTCTATATATATCCAGCCCTGAGCTTTGTGACTGTGGCTGAGTAGCCTGTTGATCACAAAATGTCAGCTAAGGCAGTGTATCCTCAAACCCAGCACTTCCTGAAGGTCGTCTTCTGAATGTGCCCCCGATGGCGGTAGGGCAGCTACCAGCTGCGTTGGTGGGTCACCGTAGCAGTGTTATTCTGAGTATTGTCTGGCACCCTGGTGAGAAATTCCTCAAAGCTTTTCTATTATTTCATAAGTAATTAATGGTCTCCTTCAAATCTCTTTCTGCCTAAGAAAGTTAGAGCAGTTACTGAATTTTGCCACCGAACCCTGACAATGCAATCTTCTATTTCTTTGTCACTGAGCATGATGTCTGGCACATGTAAAAGAACAAATGTTCATTGTTGTCTTAATCAGTGGTTCTTAATCTTTAGAGTCACTTGGAGAGCTAATACAGCACACCAAGGCCCAGGCCTATTGAGGTGTAATAGGGCCCTAGTCTTTGCACTTTGTCAAGGTCCTTAGTAGATTTCCATGCCCTCCGGCCTGAGGAGTTCTGGTTTAAACAGCCTCAAAGGCTTACCAGGTGCTAGGCATGACCCTAAGCACCGGCTACTCAGTGAATCATTTAACTTGAATAACAACCTTATGGTGTAGGAAGTTGGTTTAATCCTCATCTTATGGATGAGAAAACTGAGGCATAAAGAGGCTTAGAAAAACACCCAAGGTCACACAGATAATAAATCGTCCATCTTAGTATCTAACCCCAACCACCAAAATCCCCTTCCCCTGTCCCCTCCATTCTTCTGCTTGGATGATATCCTCTCTTTGCAGGGCCAAAAGCTGAATCTCATTTGAATTTAAATCAATTTCTTAGATAATTAAAAAAAAAAACTTAACAATAGCCAGTCTCTGTGATCTGACCATTTAGTTACTAAAGAAAATTACTGGGCTAATGAGAATCTTTCCAGCAAAACAAAAGTCTCTTGGGTAAATGCCAACATACTTCAAAGTCTAATAAAACCTATTTGAATCAAGGAAGAGTTTGAAGGAATAATTAGTCTCAGATACAAAACTAATAATTCCCTGAATTTTATTATTATCTTTGAAGTGAAAAATGGCAAAACTGACCCTTAGCTCCATCCTGTTATTAGAGAGAACATTATATATTTTCCAGAAGAATAGATGAAAATAGTATTCTTTAGCTGCAAAGTTCCACACTCTTTTTTTTTTTCTTGCTAATCATGTTTCTTACATTTTCAAGATTGCATCTCTAAGATTTAATAAAATTTCATTATTCTCCTAATACCTAGAATTAATAATGTGGAGGAAGATATCAGAAGATGTCCAGAGAAACTTCTGATAGAATGTGCAGAAATGCACAATGGATGAAATTTCCTCCCCTTTTTATGTTTTGTAAGCTTTTTAATTTATAGAAGTTCTCAAATTTTTATTTTATCACTATTACAAGGGAGGATTTCTGAAAACTTTTGAAATTGTCATATTTTTTTATCAGTAGCGGGGCTGGCAAGTAAAAGTAGACCTGGACACTTTTGAAGTAAAAATTACCCTCATTTGTCCCAGACAGGAAATGTGATCTAAATTAGCTGGTTTCAAAGTCCAGCTCCGACATTATGAACTTCATTGTTACCTTTTTTTTTTTTAAGATTTATTTATTTATTTATACATGCACTGGGTACAGTCAGAAGTGCGGGAGGATGAGAGAATTCACCAGAGCCAGAGCGGGGAGCAGAGCAGGCAGAAGGACCGAAGTACACTGCTGAGGGGAGCAGCAGGCGGCAGGAGAGGTCTGCGCGCCATGTGGGACCCTCCTCCGGTGGGCGGGGAGCAGCCGGGGATCGAACCGGTGCTGCAGAGGCTGCGGGCAGCTTCGCAACCCAGCGCTCAACCGCTGCACCACAGGGGAGGCCCCTCATTGTTACTTTTGAGCAGTAACTAAACTCCATGTCTAAGTTTGTTATTTTGGTAAATGTGGGGAAATAATCCCCTTTTCTGAGGTTTTTAAAAGAGTTTCATTGAGACAATGTTTCTTTCTCTTTAAACAGCATCTCTGGAGAGAAAGAGAGAGAAACAGAGACAAAGAGTTTGGCTATAGTTTGGAGGTGGAGCTGAAAAACCAGAGCTGTAATCAGGATTGATGAGAAAATGAACCAAGTGGATCGTGCTCTGCTGTCTTACCTGAAACCTAAGGGAAGTATTTGAGAAAGTAGGACCTCACTTTGCACCGTTAAACCTCTTTTCCCCAAAAAGTATAGATTGCATTGCAGAACAGATCACTCACTTCTGCTTGTACAACAAGAGAATAACCTAGAATTCCAGTAGAGTGACCTCTAGATATCGCACGGCCTTTACTGAAAGTTATTTATAAATAAGATGCTTTCCTTATAAGTCATCAATTTTTGTCTTGTTTTCTCTATTTAGAATGACAGTGGCAAATATTCTGCTCTTGTCATGCAATCCTTTATTTATAAACTTATCTTTGCAAGTGGGTCAATATTACTTGTTTTAGTTTTTGAAATGTCACTGTGAGACTGTAAAAATGCCACATTGACAAGTACTATAATTTAGATTCTGGATCCTGAGCTGCACACAATCAAGTCTGTGCATGATAAGCAATGTATGTATTGCCTAACTGTAAGCACTTAAATTTATTGTTATTCTGATTGGCCCCAAAATAGTCAGAGATGCTCATTCACAAGGGTTCACATCACAGTACCACTCTTACACTGAAGTCATTTTGGACAATGGAGTAACTATTCAGCAAGTGATTCTTTTCCTTCCTCTTTCTCCCAGATTGAGGATAGAATAGCAGATTATTTCTTGCTGCTAGAGGCGGCCACATGACACAGCTTCAGACAGTAAGATGTAGGGGGAATACTTGGAGGCTTATTGGATAGTTGTTCTTCTCAAAAGAGATCTACACTGTCATCAAAAATGTTTTGATTCTCCCTACCCCCATTCCTTCCACCTTTGTAGGCAACAGGAAGAGAATGTGATGTTTGGAATTGTGGCATGCCTCTTGAGATGGAGGCAATAAGCTGAAGGATTTAAGTCAATATGCTACAAATGGCACATGGAAGAGAAGTAAAGAGCTCAGATTCTTGATGATGTTGCAGCATAGAACCAACTTTGAGACATTCCTGCAGATTTGCTGGCAATAAAAAACTATAATTTAGACCACTAGGACTTAGATTTGTCTCCTGTGAATTTTATACTGTATATGGAATCAACATAATGCAAGTAGCCCAGATCTGCTTGAACTCAGAAACAAAGTCTATCTACCTCTGTAGAGAGGTGACAAACAGAATCAGAAGGAACTTTTTATCATGAGGGCTTTTGTGAACCTTGGGACTTAAGCACCTCTGTAGTTTTGTATCTTAGCAGCAAGAAGCAGCACCCTGGACAGTGGCTTTGGAGACACAGACATCACCTACACAGTCAGGACAGAACATGAGCAGACTTTTTCCTAGGTGCACAGGTGCCACTTCCTGAGGACTCCGTAAAGTAACAGGAGGAGACTTTCAATAGGCCCAAGGTCCTGTTCCAGCAGGTAGGTAGGGGCTGACTCTCCATGACAGCTAATAATAGCACTATGATCTACCTTGTTCCCACCTGTGACATTTGTGATATACACAGCACACATAATAATTTTTACTTACTTTGAGTAAATTCCTGACAACGTAGAGTTCAATCTATTCTGCAGACAGTCTGCTAAAAGCAATGTCTCCTAAAACAATCCCTGAAAATATTTTTTGTTGTAGATTGTGGAGTTTATGTGAGTGATGCTCATGGGAATAAAGAACATATTCCATTATAACCTGAATTGTAGCTTGTTTTTGTGTTAGGCTTGAGGGTGCTTTTAACATGGTCCACATCTTGGTTTATGTGAGGTGTCTGTCTGGTCTTAGTTTTCAAATATATTTCCTCTCTCTCTCTCTCTCTCTCTCTCTCTCTCTCTCTCTCTCTCTCTCTCTCTCTCTCCCTCTCTCTCTCTCTCATTCCTGCAGTGAAATCCAGAACCTTCAAATGTTGACCCATATCTTGAATTTGAGGGACTTTTGGGGAGACTTCTCGGGAACCTGTTTTGAATAAGACCTCATTTTATCTCTATCATGTGAGGCTTCTAGGCAAAGACTGAACAGCCTAACAGCCATTTGGTGACTACAAAGAAACACGAGAAACAGGAGACATCTGAGGAATTGTCAATACTTCGCAGAACCCCATCAATAAAAGCTTCTTGGTTAAGTCTTAGCCGCTTAGATATCTATTTCTGCAACAAGATTCTGGATAATAGAAGCAGGAAAAGTGGAAGTAAAATGGACCAGTACGCCCAGTGCTAAGCACTTTCACAATTGTTCCCTCAAATAAGCATCACATTATCTTGTGAAGGGGTAGTATTTTTCAGTTCTGAAATGCAAGCACCTCGTTCAACCTCACATAGCTAGAGCCAGAGCCTGACACATTTTGGGTGAAATTTGTCGTGTCATTGTTTGCACGGCTCTGCTTCTGCAGAGCTTGAAAGGTGGCAGAGGAATGACCCTTTACAATAAAACACAAACATGCACCACTCTCTAAATTCCCCTTGTGCATCAGAGGCGCTGCAGCTCTGCAAGGAAGAGCTCCTCTTCCAGCCCTTCAACACCAGACAAAGCAGGAACAATGAAATAAAAAGCTTTCTCTCCCGGGCCTTTTCTGTCAGCGGAACGCAGGTGCTGGGCCCGACCAGCGCGTGGGGGAACAGAGAAGAACGGACACTCGGGCAGGCGGTTGCCTGGCAACGCCCGCGGGAGCAGCCCCGGCGCAATAAGGACCCTGGAAAGTGTCACTGGCCTTGCGGGGGGACCGGGTCGCCCGTTCTCTCGGCGCCTGCGGCCTGTCCCCGCGGCGTGGCGGGGTGGGAACGGGGAAATGTTGCAGGAAGAGTCGGATCTGTCTCTCATTATTGCCCAGATCGTGCAGAAGCTCAAGGGCTCCAGCTTGTACGCCCAGCTGGAGCGGCAGGCCTGGGTGAGCGAGCGGCTGGGAGGGATGGGGACGGGCATGGGACGGGGATGGGACGGGGACGGGTCAGGCCTCGGCGGCGCCCGGGCTCCTCCGGCGGCTGCCCAGACCCGGGTCCGTCTCTGAGCTCTCTGATCACTCCAGGGGCGCTCCTGGGTAGGAAAAAGCTCCCAGGTGTAAGCTGCACCGCTCAGCCGCAGGCGGGGGTAATAGATCTTTATAGGGTGGGGGCATCACTCCCTCTTTTGTTTTTTTGCTTTTTTCCCCCCAGGCCTGAGAAATGTGGAGGCTACTCATTCATTTGCTATTGTTGTCCTCTGCAAGGTCTAATTTCTAAAGCTGCTGTACTCGATGAAGTTAGGCCTGACCACACCTTCCCTCACTTTTTCCTCCCTGTGAGTGGATTTAGAACACTCCACCGCCCTGGTTTTTTGCTTTCATGTCAATCACCTGCATGCACTCTGCCCTACCTGCAGGGATCCCCCGCTGTCTGCCCACCCAGCTTTTACTTTATTTTTTTTTTTTGTGGGGAAAGGGACGGTCAAAATTTTATTTTTTTAAACATCTTATTATTTATTTCTTTATTTTTCATTTTTTTAAATTTAAATTTCCATTTTATTTTTGGGGGTTACATTATTTAAAATATTTTTTACATCATTTTTCATTTTTGCACAATGTAAGCATTTTCATCTTGATTATAGTCCCCATACAATTCCCACCCCACCCCTTGTTTTGATCCTACTCCCTGCCCTCCCTCCCCTTAGTGTGTCTCTGGTTTATAGTTGCTTGTTGGTTTTGATTTTTACTTTATTATAGTTAGTTTTTTTCCTTGTCCCCTATTTAGGTTTTCTAAATTCCTGCTATGATTGAGACCATCCGGTATTTTTCCTTTTCTTTCTGGCTTATTTCGCTGAGTATTACCCCATCCATGTTGCTGCAAATTGCATGAGTTTATCTTTTTTGATTGCTGAGTAATATTCCACTGTGTGTATGTACCACTTCTTCTTGATCCAGTCATCTATTTTTGGGCATTTGGGTTGTTTCCATAGCTTAGCTGTTGTAAATAGTGCTGCTATAAACATAGGGGTGCAGGTGCCCTATTGAATTAATGTTTCTGTGTCCTTTGGGTAAATACCTAGGAGTGGAATTGCTGGATCATATGGAAGCTCCCTCTTTATCAGGTTGAGGAATCTCCACATAACTCTCCATAGTGGTTGGACCAGTTTGCACTCCCACCCAGCTTTTATTATTTTCTAATGTGCTTGGTTCTTTGAATGCAGAGATCCATCAGGAGACTTTTGCCCTTTTTTTTGGTGACTGCCATATAAATGGAATCTTAAAGTATATAGATTTAGGTGCCTGGTTTCTGTCATTTAGCATAGTGCTTTTGGGATTCATCCATGTTATTGGTATTTCAGTAGTTCTGTTCCTTTTTGTTGCTGAGCAATATTTCATTATTTGGATGTGCTACCTTTTGTTTGTACATTTGTTTGTTCTGGGTTGTTTCTGGTTATCGAGATGATGAGTAAAGTTGATATATTCATTCTGATATAGATTTTTGTTTGAATATGTGTTTTCTTTCTCTTTGATAGTTAGGAATGGAATTGCTGAGTACTATGCAAAGTGTATGTTTAGTTTATAAGAAATTGCCAAACAAAGTGACTGTGCCCTTTTGCATTTCCAACAGCAATTATAAGAATTGCAGTTGCTCTGAATTCATGTGAGTACTTAATGTCAGTTTTAAATTCGCTTTTAGTCCTATGGTAGGCTGTCTCATTGTGGCTTTAATTGCATTTCCCTAATGACTAATGTGTGAAGTAATCTGTTCAGGTCTTTTACCTACTAATAAAAATTGTGTTGTATATCATCTTATTGTTGAATTGTAAGGGTTCTTTATATATGATTCAAGTCCTTTTCCAGATTTATGTCTTCCAAATATTTTCTCCCAGTCTGTGGCTTCCTTCCCCACCACCGACTATGACTTCTTTTAAAATTTTTTAATTGGGTCTTTCCAACAGCAAAAAAAAAAAAAAAATTGATGGCATACATTTTAATCAGTTTCTTGCTTTGCATTTTTGTTTTTGGTACCTTACCTAAGAATCTTTTCTTAACCCAACTGCTCAAAAAATGTTTCTCCTTTTTTTTGTTCTAGAAGTTTTTATATTTAGATCTGTGAACATTTGGAGTTAATTTTTTTTTTTTATTTTTCAGTGTAGGGCGCTTTTTTTGCATACAGATGTCCAATACCATACATATTTCTAATATCAATTTGTTGACCATTCTGTCTTTTTTCCACTAATTTCCTCAGTTCTTTTGTTCAAAATCAGTTTACTATATACACACACACACACAAACACCCCCCCTCACACACACACACACATACCTGTCTGAGTTTCTGTTCTGTTGACCTATTTGTCACTCTGACTACCCCACACTGTTTTGATTTTTGACTTTTCGTAACTTTTTAGTAAGTCTTGAAATTAGGTAGGTAGTCCTTCAACTCTGTTTCTCTTTAGAATTGTTTTGAGCATTTTAAATCGTTCACTTTGCTATGTAAATTTTAGAATCGTCTTGTAAAATATTATAAAAATTGTTTCTTGGAATTGAATTGGGATGCTGAATTTATGTGGGGAGAATTGACCTCTTAAAAATATTACATTTTCTGGCCCATGAATACACTTTATCTCTCCATTCTTTGTATTTTCTCTCTCTTGTCATGTCAGTGTTTATCATAGTTTCGGTATATAAATCTTGTACATATTTTGTTAAGATTTATTTCCCCTTATGTATTTCATGTTTTTGATGCTATTAAAATTATTTTTTATTTCAATTTCCAATTGGTTTTAGTGTACATTTATATATTTACCACATAGCCCATGGCTTTGGTAAATTTATTAGTTGTAGTACCATTTTTGCAGATTGCTTAGGATTTTCCAATTACATGTGCCAAATGTGAATAAATACAGTTTTATTCTTCCTTTCCAATCTGAATGGTGCCATCATTGCAATGTTAGATAGATGGTTTATATTAGAATTAGGAATTACTCTATTATTTCTGGTTTTCTGAGTTTTATTATAATGGATGTGAATTTCATGAAGTATTTTCTTATGTATGGTCATGTGATTTTTCTTTTTGGTATGTTGATATGGTTATTAATATGAATTGCCTTTGAATGTTGAACCAATTATTTTGTATTCATGAGACAAATTCTAGTTAGAGATGATGCATTATCCTTTTGTGTGTTACTTTCTCTTAGCTTTTGTTCATGTTGTTTTGTCTGTTAGCATGCCTCGTAAATTTTTATTTAACTACAATTATTGTGTATGGAAAATTACAAAGTACCTAGATGATCTCTTCCTTTATATTTTTCATCCTTTCCTCCACTGGACAGAGTCTTGTGCTTGGTTACCTTAATCCAATACGGGAATGTACTGTGTGGAGTGTGAGTTTTAGGTACCCAGGCTCAATCTTTCTCTGTTCTTTCCTGGCTCTCCAGTTTTCCAAGTAAAAATTTGCTGTTTTCTATAGGCCTTATCCCCTTGGGTCCTAAATTCTAATCTTCTCTCTTGTTAGACTGCTGAAAAACTTTGTCATGGGTTCACTGATTAGGTCTTTAACCTTTCATATCACAGAATCCTAGTATTCAAGAAATTTCTTGAAGAGATAACTGTCTATATGTGTAAGACCTCCTAGGTCTTTGCTAAAACTGTTTATTTCTCTGTCCCCTCTCACTAGCATCCCACCAGGCTTCGTTCCAGGTTTGTTCTCACTCTCATCTTCTTGTTCATGTTCAGTAGAAGTTAATGATCCCAGGGCGAGGCCAGTTCTTCTCTCAAGATTTACCCCTTTCTGTCACTCTAGCTCTTATTCTTTCAGCAACACTCTTGTACCTTCATGTATCCACCTTATTCTTATTCCCACCTCTTATTCTTTCAGCAACACTCTTGTACCTTCATATACTCACTCTTGTACCCACCTGCAGCTTTCCCAGTTGTTCTAGGCAGGGGTACCCTTCAGCCACCACCTCCTTCATCCAGCTTGGAAATGTAAATTCCGTTTGGTGAGAATTAAACAAGGTTATATGTATGGGATGTTAATGCTTGGTAAATGAAAGCCTTAGGGTCCTTTAAAAGTCCAAATGAGATATTACTCCTTTGCTGAAAACCCCACAATACTTTTTACTGCCCTTAGAAAATGTTCACAATCCTTGAGTAGGCCTACAAAGCTTGGATGGTCTGACCTACACCCACTTTGTCTCATGTAGCACTGCCCTTCACCATCTAGCTCTTCAGCCAAGACCATCTAAGCTCTGTAGGTCTTCCATGACATCCCACCTTAGGTGAGGTATGTTTCTTTTTGTGATCCATAAGACAGAAGGTCCTAGAATAATGTGATTTCATTCAATGTCTTCTGTTATAAACTTGATGAGAAAAAAACAGTCCTGGCCAACACTGAACGAATTGACATCATATGAGGACCTGTGTATTTTACACTAGCATAATGACTGGCATAAGGCAGGCACATGATAGATAAATTTTAAGTCAAGTAAATCTTGACTTTTCTTAAATGTTTAAAATTGAGTACCTACTATGTGCCAGATACTTACTATTTAAAGCACCTTACTCTTTAAATGTTTGTTTTTAATTCAAACTTGAGACCAATGAGTTAATAGCTATTTCCAAATTTATAAGAAACTAATTTTCTAGAAAATAAGTAGAGATGACAAAGCCTTTTGCGTTCAAAGCTTATTGTATTTCAAAATTGCAAATAAGAGATTCTATTTTGAGCTCCACTATTGAATTAGTTGATTATTTATTAAGTATTTATTGAGTATTTTCTATGCATCAGGCACAGTTCTAGGCCCAGGGATACAATGGGGAATAAGATGTTCTTTCCTCAGGGAGACATGATAGTATTACAAATTCAGCCAAGAGTTGCATAACAATATTTAGGTCAACCATGGACCACATTGGGTGGTAAGTCCCAAATTCCTATTGCCCAGTGA